TGGGAGTTAGCGCGGGAAGCCCATTCGCTGCCTCTAAGGAGCTGAGGTCTCGGTTTCTCCGCGAACAGAGGTTCGCTCCTGAACAAGTGTCCCCTCAGCTCTAGGGGGACAGCCAAAAGGCCACTGGCCCGTAAAACTATAGGAGTCAGCTCGTGTCGGGTGCTCAGGAGCACGCTGTGGTCATGGTGAATGAAAGTCTCAACCAGGAGAAGAGCAATGACAACCCAGCGCCCGAGTCCGAATTCCAGACGGACACCAGCTACTCCACCCAGCCCAGCGTCTCCATCCATCCCAGCGTCTCAGGCCATCCCAGCGTCTCCATCCATCCTAGTGTCTCAGGCCATCCCGGCGTCTCCATCCATCCTAGCGTCTCAGGCCATCCCAGCGTCTCCATCCATCCCAGCGTCTCCATCCATCCCAGCGTCTCTGTCCGTCCCAGCAGCTCAGCACCCGCAAGTACCTTTGCTCAACCCATCGGCGCAACACATCCTAGTAGCACAGGTCCGGAAGGCAGCATGATCAAGGTGAGCAAGCGCCGTTGGGCCGTGGTCCTGGTGTTCAGTTGCTACTCCTTGTGCAACGCCTTCCAGTGGATCCAGTATGGCTCCATCAATAACATCTTCATGACCTTCTATGGCGTCAGCGCCTTTGCCATCGACTGGCTGTCCATGTGCTACATGCTGACTTACATCCCTCTGCTCCTGCCGGTGGCCTGGATGCTGGAGAAGTTTGGTCTTCGCACCATCGCTATCACCGGCTCAGCTCTCAACTGCTTGGGAGCCTGGGTGAAGCTAGGCAGCCTGGAGCCTCACCTCTTCCCAGTTACAGTGGTGGGTCAGGTCATTTGCTCGGTGGCACAGGTCTTCATCCTGGGCATGCCTTCACGCATTGCTTCGGTCTGGTTCGGGGCTGATGAAGTCTCCACAGCTTGCTCTGTGGCTGTGTTTGGCAATCAGGTGAGTAGAGGGGTGTGGAGGGAATGGGGGAATGTGAGCGTGTGTGGCTGTTCCAAAGAGAGGGTGTCTCGCCATGAGTATGTTAGAGGGTATCTGACTTAACTCTCTAAGTGGGAAGCTGCAGTTTTCTGGTTCATTCCCTTTATGACTCTGGGTAGCTTTGTGGTTGGGTGTGACTGGCAATGTAGTAGGGTATGACTGTCAGTGACATTGTAATATCATTGGGGGGGGCGGTGTCACAAGCATCTCCATCCATGTCTTTCATCCATTGATGCTGTTTCTCTACCAACCTGCCTCCGTCCACCAGTTTCACTTTTAGGAATGCCAGTCTTTCTCTGGTGACAGGCCTTGACACCTGGCCGATTAGGTATCTTTGGAATTTGGCCGATGTTTTTAGCTGGACCAGCCAGCTTTCCTAGAATGCGGGCTCCCCTATGCATAGAACTGCAGGCTGGACTGTTCTTACATCCTTTACACACACAGCTGAAACCAGGGCAGAGGGAGCAGTGCTTTGTTCTAAATTCCCTCTCTGGGGTTTAGAGCCAAGCCCAACAGGATAGTGTAGAAATCTCACTGTGAACTTCCAGGAAGGCACTGGTCTAAGTACCTCACGTCTTAATCCTTTCTCTTTCCTCCTTTCGGGGCCAGCAATCCCCAATCCCTTTGACCTTCCTGTGGTTCTGGTCCAGAAACTTGGGTATGTCATGAATCTGATTTCGACTCTGTATTCGAAGCAAAGCAAATGTTTACAGGGTGCTTCTGTAACGTGAGCCCTGTCCACAGGCTCTCACTTCTTCCCAAGTGTATGCTGTCCAAGCAGCTGTTAGACCACTGGCCACCCTTGGCTCTCATCAGCCTAATCTGTCTTTACCAATTCATTTAGAAAATGTAACTTCTGACTTAGTGAGGAAGCTCAGGAGTATGAGCACTTATTCCTCCTCCAGAGGACCAGAGTCAGATTCCCAGCACCCATGCTGGCTGACACACAAGTATTTGTAACTCCAGCTAAGGAGGATATGATGAATCTGCCTTCCTAAGGACACCAGCACTTGCGTATACATACCCATAGACATGATTAATAATAATAACCTTTAAAACTAGACTTTAGAAAGATAAATATTGAACTGGGCGTAGTAGTGCTTGTCCATAATCCTAGCACTCGGGAGGTAGAGAGGCCGATCGGGCAGTCAGGATCATCCTAGGCTACTTAGTGAGTTCAAGACCACTGAGACTTTACTCAAAATATATTATAAATAAAAGCAGATGGTAGTGCTGTAGACCTTTAATCCCAACACTCAGAAGACAGAGGCAGGTGAATCTCTGTGAGTTCAATTCAATCCTGGCGTACAAAATCCCAGGATGGCCAGGGCTACATAGAGAAACCCTATCTCAAAAACCAAACAAACATATATGGTATTTGTCAATTCTCAATCCTTAAATAACATGACCTTGGGTTTTAATGTCTCTAGCCTGGGAGGTAGATTTTTCCATTATTGGGAGCTAAGGCTGAAGGAGGAGTGAAGAATTTATCTTCCAAAAGGTACTTGATCTATGAGCAGAATAGGGTTCATACCTATTGGTGGCAATCCAGCCCTACCATTTAGGAGGAGCTAGAAGAATTCCTCCCTGTTTACCTGGGGCCATCAAAATGGTGTTTCTAACACTTCTGTTGTTGTTAATCCTAAGGCACAAAGTAACCCGCTGACACCTCTGAAGGACAAAATACTAGATATGTTAAAATTTAAGCAGAATAGTTATTCATTTCTCATTCTACCCTACTCTCCCAACAAGATCAAGAAATGCTAAGAATTTTACACCTCAAAATACCCTGGGGGTGGTGAAACAGTTCAGTGGGCAGGGCACCTGCTACCAAGCCTACCACCAAACCTGGTAACCTGGAGTTGGATCTCGTGGACCCACATGGGGAATGAGAACTCACTCCTGCAAACTGTTCTCTGACCTCTCCATAATGCTGTGGCATGCCTGTTTCTCCTACACTCCCAGATAGATGATAGATAGATGGATAGATAAACAGATAGATAAGCGCATTTAAAAATCAAAATTCATGCTGTTGGAGTATGCTTGACTCAGGGAAATAAATGTTTCTTTTGAATATTTAGGGTTGATCCTCTGTGCTGAATTCAACATTATGAAAAGCTGTTCAGGCTTCCTCATGAAGAGATGGGTTTCTCTGTGCTATAGCCTTTTCCCAGGTAAAGCTCTGCTGCATGGGAAAAAAAAATACTTGCAGAGTCCCTGTGCTTTGCCTCTTAGTAAAGACTCCACAGAGCTGGCTAAGCAAACTTCATTCCTCATGGCCTGCAAACTTCACTTTAGCCTTACCCACGTAAATCACCTCAAACCCTACAGGCTTTTCAACCTGGGGGGTGGGGGGCAGGACCAGAGGAAGAGATTATCCAAAAAATACTGATATTTGTCAACAGCAGAATATTGAAATGGTAATGTATATGCCATGGTAATCTATTCACATATGCAAACAGGTTGAGGCAAGGGACGGGTCTTTAATTTTACATTTTATTTATTTTGTATGTAAAGGTGTGTGCATGTGCCACGATGCGTAACTAGAAGTTAGAGAACAATTTGCAAGAATTCTCACTTTCCACCACATAGGTGTTGGAGATCAAACCCAGGTCCTCAAGCTCGTTGGCAGGTGCCTTTATCCACCATCTTGCTGACCCAAGGTGGAGTTTTAAAAGAGACAAATGAAGAGGATTGAATCAGATATTTTGAAATAACAGTCTCTGGATACAATGACTAATAACAGTGGCGTGGGGCTGAGGCTGAACAGACAAACACTGGGGAGATATCCTTCTGGAAATGTTTTTTTGTGTGTGATGTCACACTGGTATTGGTGATGTAGCTTAATAGTAGAGTTCATGTTTAGCATATGGGTTTGATCCCCAGCACCACAGAAGTGTAATGGTCTCTGTAAGGTCGGGGTCTAACAGAAGCTCTTGTGGTCATCGTTTCCATAAGACATAAACATTTCCATTCATAATCCCTTCTTTTTTTTTTTTTTTTTTTTTTTTTTTTTTTGAGACAGGCTCTCACTGTGGAGCACTGGCTGACCTGGACCTGGCTATGTAGATTAGACTGGCTTTGAACTCACTGAGATCCTCCTACCTCTGCCTCCCAAGTGCTGGGATTAAAAGTGTGTCCTGCCACACAGGCATCATTTGCTTTTTGTTGTTGTTAAGATTGACACAAATGACTATTTTGATCCCGACAACTTTCCTGTTTCATTCATTCACAGGGTAGGGAACCTGACCTCTCTGTTCCCAATGTTTCTTCTGTACTTCCCATGGTAACCAGTCTCTGCTCATACAAAATTCAGCTTTCAGACATTAGACAAGCCGCAAACTTCCTTGAGCAAACTTCCTAATTAAGGCTATGCAACTGTCATCTGCTCTCACAGACTTCCTCTACCAGAATTTAAAGTACATACTGAATGCCTAGGTTCAGAAATGATATAACAAATCGTAGCACAGATTTATTTTCAGTTCTCTATGGCATTTGTGTGTGTGTGTGTGTGTGTGTGTGTGTGTGTGTGTGTGTGTGTGTGTGTGTTTTAGGCTTACTGGCTATAGGAAAGGGTAAAGAAGTTAATGTCTATGAAACACCTAAAATATGCAAAGTACTTTTACATCCATTGCTTAATCTTTTCAGCAACTCTCGTGAGGAAGGTAGAATTGTCCCTGTGGTTACAGGTGAGGAAACTAAGAGTCATGTAAAAAGAGTGACCTAAATCACATTCCCGTAGCAGTTGAGTGGTAGCAGGAGATTGAACTGGCTCTGATGTCAGTAAGCCAACACTGAATCTTCATGGAGGGAAAGCCAATATTAAAAACAAAACAAAACAATCAAATGCCAGGCAGTACTGGCACACCTAATCCTTTAATCCCACACGTGGGAGACAGAGGATGACAGATCTCTGAGTTCAAGGCCAGCCTGGTTTACAGAGCAAGTTATGGAACGGCCAGTGCTATACAGCGAGACAACTTCGAAAAACCAAAGAAAGAAAGAGTGCCTGCTTCAGCAGCACATCTACCAAAAAACTGGAACAATACAGAGAAGATTAACATGGCCCCTGTGCAAGGATGACATGCAAATTCATGAAGCATTCCATATTTTATTTCTTGGAAGGAAGGAAGGAAGGATGGAAGGAAGGAAGGAAGGAAGGAAGGAAGGAAGGAAGGAAGGAAGGAACTGAGGGCTGAGGTAGAGTGTCTGACTAGCATCTATACTAGGTTCTAGGTTTGATCCCCACTATGCACACTCGCACACACAGAAAAGTGAGAATCTGAGGTTCTAATTTCATTCTGTGTCTCTAGGACTTTTGATGATTGCCTTCTGGTGTTAGGGCATTTCTGCCTCCTTGGGGGTTTTGTTTGTTTGTTTGAGATATTGTGTCACTGTATAGCCTTGCCTGACTTGGAACTTAATACGTAGACCACTGGACTGGCCTTGAACTCACAAAGACCCAACTGCCTCTACCTCCCAAGTGCTGAGATTAAAGCTCCTGCACCTCTTTTAACCTAGCACAGGATCTGGACATAGCCAGGAAAGTGGGCTAGAGTCTGCAAGAAAGAAGCCCGTGCAGAGGTCAGATCTCCTGGGGTCAGGGAAGACAGGCAACTTAAGATAGAATCTTTTTATGGTGGACTAAAATCTGCTGTTCTCAGGTAGTGAAAGCTGGGTAGTTTTTGAGCAACACTCAGCATTGTTTCAAGTGAGAAACCATCTGCAGTGGGGGTTTGAGTGACATTGACACATTGTTACTATACAAGATGTAAAAATTAAATCTCAAAACTGGGACAAAGGACTAACTGAAGTAACTATGTTAACATGCTGCCAGGTTCTCCCAGCATCCCTTAGCCCCTACCTGTTACAGAGTAAGGCTCCCCTGGACTCTCCAGCCCAGGGGCTGGCTGCCCTTCCCCCTGCAGTTCTTTCCTATTTAATTCAGCCATTTGGGTTACTCTATCCTTTTATCATTTTTGTACCCTTTAACCTCCTTCCTCGCTCTTGGTCTCCGGGCTCTCCCCTCTCTCCTCCCATGGTGGGGCTCAGGGTGGTCTTGTTCACACTGGACTCTGGCTATGCTATCCCTCATATTATAATAGACCATACCTATGAGCGATCATGTCCTTCCTTTTTTATTTCTTTATTTCATTCAGAAGGAAACACTGTAGTAGACTCTGACAACAGTGTGGCCCAGGATGAGCTAGATGTTGGGAGATAGAAGGGATCTTCAAGGTCAGCTTCAGCCCTAGATGAGGGGAGCTGGCCTGCAAGTACAGAGAAGGAAAGAGAACAGTAAACCACTTCACTTTCAGAGGTAGGGAAAATGCCACACTTTCACAGTTCGAATCCCACAGAAGTGCTAGTTGGCCATATACAATAACACTGGATCATGGAACTATAACATCAGAGCATGTGCAAGCCTCCTATGGGACTAGATTTTCTGGTCTCCATGTTAAAAATGTAAATACAACATTAGTTTTAGTGCTAGATTTTATTTAGCTCACCTCTTCCCCCATATTATTTAAACACGTTGTCAATCTAACACGTTTACTAGTATGATATTTTACAACTTTTTCCCCCCTGTAATGCTCGGGATCCAACCTAAGGCTTCATTGTTTCAGGCAAGTGCTCTACCATTGAGCTACATGTCTAGCCTCCTCATCCTCTTCATTGCTAAGTCTTTGGAAATTTACAGGCTTCCCCATGTGTGTTTCCCCATACGTTCTGAGTAGTCCTTGCTCCACAGCTGGGTGAGCAATGGTGGAAAACATACTGTGGCAGATAAAGATGGACTCTAGGAAGTGACTCCAGCCCCAATGAGGCCATGCTTGCTTGACTGGCTGAGCCTGTGCTGTCACCAGAGAGGCTAAGGAGGCTGAGGGTGACTCAGGAACCAGAGTTCTAAGGTGAGGTCAGCTTAGTCTTATTTCAAAATTGTGGCTGTAGGCCAGGAGATCCTGGCTTACCACTATCTCTCATCTCTTATCCTTCTTGGATCTCCTAAGCTCAGAGGCTGGTCAAAGTCTGAGATGGGGATTATCCATTGATGGTCATTGCAGTGACCCACTGTGTGTTCCCATACCAGACTGCTCTCTGGCCTCCAGCAATGCAGTAGAAGACCAGAATAGAAAGGGGGTAAGAGGTGAGCCCAATGGTAAATTGTAAGGTTCAGGACTGCTCTTTCCGATGGGGCCAGCCATGTCAGACAAGTGAGCTTGGCTAGCCTACAATGGTAATATCAGAATCAAATCAGGTGTGGCTCCACCAAGCATGAAGGCCAATTGTTGCTACAAAAATTATAACCTCATGTCCATAGATGTGTCTTCCTACCTTCTTTTCTTTCTTATTTAAAGAGAAACTATAAGTACGAGTTTTCACATGAAAAAGTTTTGGAACAGGTATGGGAATTGAAACCAGGCCCTGTCATACATAGCCCAGGCTAGACTTAAACTGCTGTTGGTCCTCCTTCCTTAGCTTCCTGTGGGCTAGATTTACAGTCTTAGATTGCCACATATGGCTTGAAATCTGGTTTTTTTTTTAAGTCATGATGAAACAAATGTAACAAATTCGTCTTGAAGGGCTAGTAAGTTGTCAGTTCAGAGGAATTAACTACATTCACTGTTATCACCTGTCAACCCCCTGCAAAACCCATCATCAAACATTAATTCTTCCCCTCTTCTTCCATCCAGCCCCTGGGAACCACCATTCTACTTGGTACCTCATTTTGCATCTGAATTTGCCTATTCTGGATGCTAATATAAATGGAATCATGGTTTTCACTGTCTGGCTTATGAAATTGGCTTTATTTTTATTTTCTCCTTAAGTTTTATCTGCATGGATGTTTTGTCTGTGTGTATGACTATGAATATACATGCATGCCTAGTACTTGAGGAGGTCAGAAAGGGACATCAGATCCCTGGAACAAGGTTATAGCCCGTTTGTGAACTGTCATGTGGGTGCCAGAGTTGAACCCATGTCTTCTGGAAGAGCAGCCAGGGCTCTTAACCTCTGGGCCATCTCTCCAGGTCCTTGGTTTTTAAAAATCAGTATCTAATTCAAAGATTCTATTTTTGGTGGGTTTTGTTTATTTGTTATTTATTTATTTATTTATTTATTTTGGCTGTTGAGGTTTTTGTTTGTTTAGTTGGTTATTTTTTTTTTCCCCGAGATAGGGTTTCTTGGTGTGGCCTTGGCTGTGCCGTCTGTAGACCAGCCTGGCCTTGAACTCACAGAGATCTGTTTGCCTCTGCCTCCCAAGTTCTGGGATCAAAGGTGTGCATCACCATCACCCAATGGGTTTTAGGGTTTTTTTTGGGGGGGGTTGGTTAGTTTTAAGACATGGTCTTGGTATATAACTGGACTGGCCTCAAACTTGAGATTTTCTTTCCTCAGCTTCCTAGAACCAGGTTTGTAGGAATATTCCACCAAGCTTAAAGTCCCTTCCCCACTCTCTCTCTCTCTCTCTCTCTCTCTGTGTGTGTGTGTGTGTGTGTGTGTGTGTGTGTGTGTGTGTGTGTTATGTGTTGTGTGTTAAGTTTTCTATTTTAAAACCATGGGTTAAGTGAAATTGCTAGTCTGAGACTTTGGCATAGAATTGAATTTCAGTTCTACTTTCTTCTGCTTTGAAGGCCAAGTGGTCCAGCCTTCCACAAACACAGCCATGGGGCTGGTTTTCAGGTGCCCGGTAGAGGCCTCCTCAACCAACTCTCTAGGGAGGGCTCAGAGATATAGAGGCAACATTTTGTAGTTTTCTGTCCACAGGTTTCTGTATTTTCAGCTGGCTCCCATTCAAGGCTGCCAATTAAGAGCTTTAGTTTGAAGGACACTGAGCCAGCTGCACAGGAGGGGGTTGCCTGCATGCAGCCATTCTTGTCAGGGCCAATTTATTATGTAGTTGCTGTATGCTGCATCTGGTGTCCAGTTAGAAGGAGAGGGGGCTTGGGTCCCTTATCTATCAGACTGAGGTTAGGCTTGTGGGCAGGGCTCATAATTCCAATTTCCTTGAGATCCAGAAGTCAACAAGGGCCAGGGGCAGCTTTGATAGGATAGGATCCGTTGCAGATGCTTCTAACCCTGGCTCTCTGACATTCTCCAGCATCCTGGAGGAGGTCCAGGTTGGCCTCATTGGCTCCCATCTTGGCTTTGGTCCATTCCAGATCCTGCTACCATGTCTTTTAATTACATGGAATCAAGTTAAAGTCTTCAGGTCCTGCACCCCTGCTCCTGTCCTATTCTAGCCTAGCCTGTGTGGTTACTTCCCAGCATTGGCTCTGCTCTCAACAGTTAGGCCCCAAAACCATCTCCTTGAGGCGATGCTATTTGCAGAATAAGAGGGAATGGGGAGTGACGTCAGCAGGATGGTTCTAGGTCCTTTTTTCCCTGCAGAGACATTGAATAAACAGCTAGGAACTAGCCAAAATAACTTCTTGATATGACCTTTGCAAATCTGTCAGAGATCTACAGCAACTAAGCACAGCCAGAAAAAGCAGTGTTCAAGTGGTAGTAAAGGTCATGGCTTTGTGTTCCTATTCTGGATCCTTCCCAGAACGTTCCAGCCTCCTCTAGTTTGCTTTCGGACTGCACACTGAATTAGCAGCATTATAACCTGTTTTTAATACAGCAGCATTTGATACATAACAATAAATAATCCAGCAAGAAACTTAAGAAAACAGTTCCATTAATAACAGTGAAAAACAGCTGGGGGTATGGTGGCACTCACCTTTAATCCCTGCACACAGGAGGCAGAGGCAGGTGGATCTCTGAGTTTGGGGCTAACCTGGTCTACAGAGTGAGTTCTAGCACAGCCAGGCATACACAGAGAAACCCTGTGTTGAAAAACCAAAATAATAATAATAATAATAATAATAATAATAATAATAATAATAATAATAATAGTGAAAAACAACAACAATCAAACTCAGGAATAAGCTTAGGAAGTGAAAAATTTGTACACCAAGAACCATAAACTGTTGCTAAAAGTAAAGAAGACATTAAACAGAAAGTCATTCTGCCTTTCTCAGTTGCCAAATGCCATAATGTGAAGATGGCCACTGCTCTGGATGGTTGGCAGAGTCAGTGCAGTCACCCTCCAAATCCAAGTGGTCTGTC